ACTAAACTGTACGAATTAATTTGATATATTATACATGGTTGTCCTGGTCTGAAATTCCGTTTTTTTTCCATAATAAACGTACATTATGACTGATTTGACACAGAGCAAATTGCACGTTGTTACAGAGAGGTGAAAAGAGACGCGTCCTAATTAGCTTTAATCTGTCGGATTAATTAAGCTCCCGAGTGAATATGATTCATTCCGGCGCGTGTATATTTATTCGTAGTAGAAATTTAAATTCGAAGCAGAGTTTCTCATCTACATATTACCCGCTCGTTTTGGTAGTGGCAGAGCGTGATAACTTCTGCTTGCGGCGCATGCGGCTGACGGCTATACCCGTGGCTCGTACCTGTCATGGATTCCAAGGATCGACCGCGAGCGCAGGCACGCATGATTACACGAATTTTTGCGTGAAAATCAACGGTACATCGAGAGATCCGTGTACGATAAGTAATGCACGATTATGAGCCGGTGGTAAAGTGGTAACTTTTCATTGATCCGAGTGTCGTCGCCTCGTAAACAATCGTTTCAAGATGAACCCTCTCGACACGGGTTACGAGCCTTCTGTCACACGGAGCACAGATATCGTAAGTATTCGCATATGATAAAACGTTTCACTCATTAAAATAGATGTTTTTAATCATGATATGCGACGGGCTATCCTATGTTGCGTGACATTGATTTATTCCATTCGTTTCCGACGATGTCTCGGCGTCGAACTGTCGGGATCTTGATGTTCTCGTGAACGTCACCGAATGCAAGCAGCTTATTTTCGATGCTTCCCGTGACTGTCAGTGGACGTAATGTTCTCAGAATTTTGGTTAACTCACCATGCGTGTTTAGGTTACAACGCGGTCGCGAATTGTAATGGTATACGCCACGTCCTCGCGAGGTCTCGTGGCGATTCTCACCGAGCAGTTTTATGGGTACTGCTATTTTTAGTGCATACCGTAAACCTGTAGCCCTGGCATAAACGAATGTATCGAGAAAATTTTACAACTTTTATTATCTACCATCACCACGTGTTCATCTCTCCGGTTATTAGTTCCAATTGTGTGAAAAAAAAGAAAATACTTTTTCGAAGGTCCCGATCACAATTGGCATGTATCCCCGTCATGGCTATACGAAACAGTCTAGAAAACGAAAAAATTTATATTCGGCAAAATAATATACGTCTCATTGACGGTACCTAGTCAATGAAAAAATCAAATACATATTAATGAATTATCGTTTTTGGCGGGAAGTGGTAAAAAGCATCTGTTATAATATGCCATCAGAATGTCAACGTGGAATGTAATTCATTAAATGACGACCATTGTGTCGGGCGAGCTCATCGTAATCAGCTGTTATCAAGAACGTTACTGTGCGTGTTTCCTGCCACTTGTGATACTAGCCATTCTGTCGTAACCGATGAGAGTCACCTTTTATACGGCTTCGTTCTCTACCGAATTATTACCATTAGACTAAAACACTATCAGTTCTTCTGCTACCCCTCCTTCGTTCCCATCGCCTGTTATTTTATCATTCGTTTTATCGCGTTACGTGTAAAACGATGATCGATGTCTACGCAACGGGGGGGATGAAATTTGTAATTTTATTAAAAGGCAAAATGGGTAGTGCGCTCGTACGGATGGAAAGCTGGTCGATTCAAAGTATACTTAGAAGCCAAGTTCATAATCTTCTGTTTAAGGAAACCTCGCGCTCGATGCACACAACGTGCAATAAAAGAAGTGATGAATATTATTCCCGAGTTACGAGCGAAAGGCAGTTTGTCAAACTTTACACTCCACGTTTGTTACCATTTTCCGTGACAAGTGGCAACAGTATCATTATTTCTCTTCCTTCCTCGAAAACAGGTTGAATCTGCACCTGTTTTATGACTCACTTTTAGTCAGTTGTATCCAATGCGAATCGCTATAAATACGAATGATTCATTCGGTAATATTTTAATTATCTCTGCTGGATCACGCTACTTTTCGTCTTTTTTTATATTTCAACTAATGCTTATAGATGTGTGTAGCATTTCTTGGCACGGATATTGTAAGTAAAAGTAGACACAGGCTTCTGTGGACTTGTTAAGTCTAACGCATGACTGCGATATGGGTGGTGGGACGCTTAGAAATTGTACACAATACTAGGATTATACAGCGTGACTCCGCGTACACCTGTTTGCGTGTATACGGGCCCGCCGTATAAATTACGGTGAATGCCGGCGCGTACATATGTAGCATTTAAAAGTGAATAAATATGATAGCGTATTATGCGCGAGGCGGCTATCGAACGTGTATAGTGGTTATCTGCCGATAGAGTGGCACGTGCAACGATAATAATAGAACTCTTGGTGCATTCACATACGGAGGATACCTGTTGTATACTATGTTAAAGACACAAAGTTTCACGCTCAGGCACACTTCAATCATCGGTCGGATTAGACCCAGTTGAATCGATAAATCCAATCAAGCTATGGTGTGAGAACTAAGGTTTCGCCTTCGCGATTAATGATATCCAGACTGCTGACTTTAATGCAAAATAAAACATTCATCACATCAATTTAGAAAATTAGATCTGCAGCTTGTTTTATCGTTACAAAACAACAGCGATTTCATTACCATTTCACTTTTCACATTCGATTATTGTATTTTCTGTATAATTTTCTTATTAATGCGTGAAATCCGCAGTCTAACAATATTTCTAAATGATGTATTGTATTAGTGATCTACATTTAATTTTAATTACTACCATCGTATCGTACTTTAGCTTACGTGCCCGTATCAGCGGAAAGTATAAAATTATATCCTGTTCTTCTGGATTACACTAAAAAAAGGAACATCCAGTTTGCCGTCATGTTTAAAATATTTAATTATTGTCCTTGTTTGCTTGCAATCTACTTTACAGTTTCACATTTTGTCTTATCTCGAACGTTTATTATCGTCAGCCTAGTCATTTACCTATTCCATTTCGTAGGTGCTAAATCTACGAAGATATATTTTTTTCAACAATCAAGTACTCTTATCGCTTCGCAAGTACCTTGAGACGATAGCGAATGTTACCTACCCAGGTAAAGCCTATGGTTCTATCGTGCACGTCTACATGTAAGCACGTTGGATCAATGATAGTCAAGCCACGTTGCTAATCACGTGGTGTTGAAACAAAGATAATAAGGATTTGAGGAAGGTGCGGGTTTTTTTTACTGGGAACACTTGCTTATAGCTATTTTATTTTTATTCATGATATTCCTCGAATGTTAAGTAAGAAGCAATACTCGATGAGATCGTGACATGCCTTGCAACAAGTGATGGGCTTCAGTCTTGACTCAATCTTACATGAGTTTTGGTCGCGTTATCGCACAGAAGAAGAGTCAAAATTCATCACTTATTGTAAAGTCTGTCGTAACGCGAAGATCACTTTAATATAACTTCTATCAATTCTTGTTTATACAGAAGCATCTGTATCCGGTATTATTTCCTG